AACTGTATAGTGTATACATAAAAACAAAAAACAAAAACAAACCATAGCCGCAAGACCTAAGAAGTAAGAACACATATATAGCCGTCTGAATATTGCTCATATATTTAACGTTTTATCAGTTGGCTACATATGATATATCTGACAGACTGGACTCGACTGGCAGTGTTGTACAGTGTAAGTTGATACTTGAAACTGTGACACTATGTGGACTGTGAGTCTGTGACTGTGGAGTGTGGAACTGTGGACTCACTGGACTGTGCCCTGTGCGGGCCCGTGGTCTGTGACTGTGGGACTGTGTCTGTACCCTGATTCCCTCCTGTGGATTTACTGGATATTCCGACCAATGGGAGTGTGGGAGTGTGGGAGTGTGGAATATGGAGTTATAGACTGGGTTAGTTTTAGTTCCAAATTAGTATATATAGAGCATAGAGTTCAATTGTTAAAACTGCATGAATAAAACATTTACAAAGTTTATACTCAGATTCCCTTCCAAATTTGATACCCCTTTAGAACCCACCCCCCCCCAAAAAAAACCCAAATGCTAAACAGCTACTTCATGAACTATGAAGTTCATGTCTTGCATTATACATTTTTCTACTGGAGGATTGTTTGCGAACAGCCCATCGGAATGTTTATTGTCGAATAGAGGGAGTATTTTATAACTCTGAAGTCTTATTAATATTGTAATAGTAACCAACTAATCAATAAACATCGCTTTTATTTGTTCGCTATGGATTCCCAAGAAGAGGGCTGGGACTTGGGAGCCTGGGTCCTGGGGAGTGTGAGTGAGACTGTGGGTGAGTGTGTTTATGCTTGAGCGTGTGTGTTACTGACTGACTGAGAGTAACAGTGTGTATTTGACTATTTGTGTGTGTGTGACTGTGTTTTAACTGTCGAGTGAAAGTGAGGAAGGAAGGGGCGGGGCCTGGCGGGGGGGGGGGGGGAGGGGTTTCCTCAAGAAATTATCTCACCCTCGGACTCAGCCCTCAGGCCTCGGCCTCAGCTCACTCCACCCTGCGCAGATATATTCACAAGTTATCAACTACCCTCTTTGATTAAACGTTTTCAGTGTCCGCGGCGCCCCAGTCGTGTTTTATTCACTGTATTTATAATTTTTATTTACAGTTGTTGTACACAAATGTAAAAACGTATTTTTTTTAGCTACCACTGTGACTGGACTCTATTTAGCTACCACTGTGACTGGACTCTTCTTACTCTTGCAAAAACCAATATGTTTTTATAAATACTGTATGTCTGTACTGTATGTCTGTATCGTACGACGTATATACCAGTCCACAGTCCACGACTCCACGTTCTCAAACTTTTGTCTCGAAGCTGTTTAATTTTCAGAAGGCTATGACGAAAGGTTAAAAAATTATTTACCGGTAGTTGTTTAGAAAAAAAACCCAGTTGTATTTACTAAAAAAAAGACAAAAAACAAATCGAACGTGAAAAAATGATTTGTACACAAACAGTTATATTCTTGAACTATGTGTAAATACAATAAATACATACATACCAAAATTTCTATTTGCTCGTCCCAGCCTCCGGGAGTCTCAGGCTCTCAGGTTTGCATTCCGACGATTCCGTGTTGTGACTTTGTGCATCCGATGATGATTTGATGATTCAGCAACAACCCATTTTTTTACTGTCGACGCACTTTAGCTCTTGACGAAGAATGCTGGACAATTAGTGTGTAGCCATATTGCGAACACGGGCACCTTAAACCGTTAAATATCCAGTTCACCAACCATACTAGTTCATAAATACTTGTGTTGTACTAAATAATTTGACCAGTTTCTTATCTGTACACCCTGCTAATGCCCGCCACGTCACAACGTCACGAACATAATAGGCACTATGGTCGCCAATAAACTATTTTCTGGCTTCCTCCGCATGTTTAGTAAAAGTAGAACATGTGAAGACTTTCCAATGAATGCTGAGTTCTTGAGTAGCGATGTAGAAGCACAATTCGACTCATCTTATAATGATACAGATAATATAGGAGGTGCGACAGGAAAATGCAACAGAGTCGAGATGGTTGGTTTCAAACGATCACGTCATCTGGATCAGAAAAAGTCAAAAAAGCATTGCGACGCATCTCTTGCACAAAAACATGGATCGGTTTGTTCGTCTGCGATGCGAAATGCAGCCACTTCCAGGTCGATTTGCGACCCCAAGGTATCACCAGTTCAGCCAGCTATTTCAGATAACAAAGTTAAAAATTCACCTCTTCAAAAGCACATACAACTACCCCCAATAGCTGATGTTGTGAATATCGATAACTCAAGAATTGGCGGCATTGTAACAGCCCTTGTAGATGTCAATGATGAATATCAGTCCGGTTGGAGTACCACATACAGGCCCTCGACATCCCCAACCAATATGCCAAAAATCACTCGAGACCAGAACCAGGCTAGAAAGTATACAGGCACGTTTCCGAGAAAGTGTACTATACAAACTGGCACTGGCGGTGAACATCTAAGTCAAGGTCAGCGTGTCAACACCTTGCAGCAGCACAAAGGATTTGCAAAAAAACGAGCGAAATCTGAGATTGACAGCAGAATGCGGCTATCTTTTATCCAGGAATGTGATGTCGAGCTGAGCACAACGTCTACGTTTTCATCATGTAGCGACCGATTAATACGTACATCTTCGTTACCCACACCTTTTGTCCAAATTGCGGATCCTGCTATTGTTAGCAAACTGGAAACAGAAATTCAATTTCAAAGCTGTAAAGATGCACGCCGAGTGCATTTCACACCGGATCCAATCATACATCCAACGTACGGAAGTGTGTATGATAGGAAATCATTTGGTGTGGACAAATCGAAACTAGCAAGTTCCATACTTGAAATATACCTCGAATTGATGCGGTACAAGATCAATGAGATGGCTTGTCATCATAGCTCCATCAAGTACACAAACTTCCATTTGGCCGGTGTTCACGGTAGCCAGAGGGTTGCACTTGTGCATATATTGAAAGGCATGATTGACTATCAGTCGAAATTATTACTGCTGCCCTCGGCAGACAATTGAAGCGCTGTTACTGAATCAAGAATGACCTATTGGAATACAAACTTTACCCATAATAAAGCATAGAAACTTGCCTGAAGCGTAGGTCTGTATATCAGATACACACAGTGCTGAACAATTTGCGACAGCGGGGAAATTGACCGACCCGTTTGTTAGCTATCAAAATAGTATCGTTTATGACCAACTTACTCCAATCAAATTAGAATGGTTGTATTCGTCCCATATTGGGACGTATACATTCCTAAACTATGAAGCTATAAACCGAACATACTCAGGATCTACTCTATTCTAACATACGAAGCCTTCCGTGGACAAATATACCAATGAACCATGCAGTTTATACATGTGCATGTTCTGGAAATAACGTAAACAATGGCCAAAATAAAATATACCATAATATATATCTACGTATATACGTATATATATATATAGAGATATACATTATACACTTATATATATATATAGATATACATTATACTTATATATATATATAATATATACATAATATATATATGCTATAAATAA